TGGGACCTCCGATGCTACTATTTGTTCGTATTTGTTGCTCTACATTCTTGCCACCTTAGGTTATTTACAGGGGCGGAACTTTGAAATACGATGGAAAGTTGTACAAATTTCTGTGTCCTAATTGCACGTATCAGTAACTTGATATGGGAACAGGCTACACCGAGTTAGGCTTTAGCATCTCAAGTTCTGCCGATTTAAGTAAATGAGTTCAATCCGTTTGTACTATTTACATATAACCATCTTTAAATAAGCATGTTTAACGAGTTAGATAAGATTTTATTCCATCAAGCTCAAGATTTGCAGCCTTGGCAAATTTGGAAGGAGTGTCAGGAGAGCTTCTAAAGAGGATGGAGAGTTCAAGATGATTATGGGAGCTCAGACAAAGGAAAAACTTTGGAAGTAACACATGAGGGAACGTCTAGAGATAGCAGGCTAGCGTTATGTTTTCAATTTCTCTGCCGAGGGGTTGAAAGAGGAAAAGAAGCAAGGTAGAAGTCAAAGAAACGATAGGCCTAACTCTTATGTAGCCGTCTAGCCGATAGCCATTGAGCTAGTCGAGGTAAAAGAAATGTTATTAGAGGCTGGGATAAGTTCACCGATTCAGAAAAGAAAGGCAATTAATTAACCGTGTCCATAATGATCTGGGTTTGTTTGAAGTTCTGTAACTTTAATCCATTCACACGTTATTATAACATGATATATGAAACATACGGACAAATGTCATATATTATGAATCATCTCGATATCGTCTTATTTTTAGGTGTCTGGAAAAAATATTTTCTAAAAGTATTTTTTTACAAATTGAGATTAATTTTTGGGAAAATTGCAAATAAAGACCGTGGAATATATAAAATCGCAATTTGGGTCCTTGAATTTGTATAATTGCTGTCAGAGACCCGGTCCCAAATAAGAATTATGAAATGTTGATTAAAAGTCAAAAACGCCCTTCTGCTTCTCCTTGTCTTTTTTCATCTTATCCTCTCCTTCTCTTTCCTTTTCTTCCCCTCTATCCTTCTCTCCGTGCTTCTTTTTCCTCCTCCTCATCTCATTCCCCTTCCTTCTCCTTCTTCTCCAGTCCCACTTCCTTGTCCTTAACCCCATCTCCCCCAACTTCTCTCATTCTCTCTTTTCCCTCTGTCATCTTCTTTGTTCCTTCTCCCAAAGCAAGTGAATAACAGGACTTAGAAGAAGGATGCCAAGGGAAACAATAATTAAGCTCAACAAGACTCTCGCTGGATATTGTTGAAGCCTAGCTTCGACAGGGAATTGGGTTCCAGTTTGTCACCGAGTTCTGCGTTGAAGTCGAAGATGGTTGCAGCGACGACGGCAAGTGTGCGATGATTGCTTGGTGCTCAGACAACGCCCAACAAATCTGGATTTTTATTCTTCATTTCTATTTTAATTTTCAGTTTTTGTTCATAATTGAAAATAACAAGTTTGATAAGTTGTTAAAAATAACAAGTTGACAAGTTCTGATACCCAATTCACGACAAGTTCAGTAATACGAATAACAAGTTTAGGAAGGAAAATAACAACTTCTGATAAGCAATTCATAGAAATTCGAGTTTCTGTGTTAAAATGACAACATTTTCAGATTTCTTTAGCAGATGACAAGTTCTTATACACAATTCATGACAAGTTCAGTAAGGTGAATGACAAGTTTAGTAAGGTGAATGACAACTTCTGATAAGCAATTCATAGAAATTTGAATTTCTCTGTTAAAATGACAGGTTCTCATTAGGTTTTCATACTTTTTCTGTTAAAATGACTGAATTTCCACATTGATTTATGAAAATGACAAGTTCATAATAGAAAATGACAAGTTTCTACAAGATTTTCATACTTTTTTTTCCTAGAAATACAGTTTGTACATTTCTGACAGCAACCACTTCTGATAAACACGAAATGACAAGTTCACAATGAAAAATGACAAGTTAAGTATGACAAATGACAAGTTCCCATAACGTTTTCATACATTTTCATACTTTTTCTGCTGGAATTACAATTTGCACATTTCTGACAGTACCAACTTCTGATAATTGCAAAAAAGCTCTAAATTGTGGAAATCAAGTATGATGACTGTATTTCGGTGGATAAATCGATCAAGGTGTGGGATGTGAGAAACAAACGAGCCTTAAATACAGTGCTAAATGAATAAAGTTCTCACCTTATATGTAGAATTTGATAGTTTCTTGTTCATATGATATGACAATTTACATTTGGGATTTCATGGTTGATGATGCACTTGTGAGTGGATATGATCATCATAGTGCATTTGCCGTTGGTGTTGATATGAGCATGCTTCTTGAGGGGCTTATGAGAGTTCTGGTGCTATAATTTTATACATTAGGAGGAAATGAGAGGTGAAATTGATGATAAAAGATGTTAATCAGAAGTGGTTACTGTCAGAAATCTACATATTGTTATTTCAGCAAAAAAATTTATAATTGTATGAAAACGTGATGGGAACTTGTCATTTTACATACTTAACTTATCATTCGCTATTATGGGCTTGTAATTTACTGTTTATCAGAAGTGTTTGTTGTCAGAAATCTGCACATTGTTATTTTAACAGAAAAATTTACAATTGTATGGAAACGTTATGGGAATTTGTCATTTTACATACTTAACTTGTCATTCGCTATTGTAGACTTGTCATTTATTGTTTATCAAAAGTGGTTGCTATCAGCAATGTGCAAATTGTGATCATAGCAGAAAAAGTATGAAAATATTATGAAAAATTGTCATTTGCCATACTTAACTTGTCATTTTCCATTATGAACTTGTTATTTCGTGTTTATCAAAAGTAGGTGCTGTTAGAAATGTGCAAATTATAATTCCAACAGAAAAAGTATGAAAATGTATGAAAACATTATGGGAACTTGTCATTTGCCATACTTAACTAGTCATTTTTCATTATAAACTTGTCATTTCATATTTATCAGAAGTTGTTGCTGTCAAAAATATGCAAATTGCAATTCTAGCCAAAAACAGTATGAAAATGTATGAAAATCTTATGGAAACTTGTCATTTTCTATTGTGAACCTGTCATTTGATAAATCAATGTGAAAATCCAATCATTTTAACAGAAAAAGTATGAAAACCTAATGAGAACCTGTCATTTTAACACAGAAACTCAAATTTCTATGAATTGCTTATCAAAAGTTGTCATTCGCCTTACTAAACTTGTCATTCACCTTACTGAACTTGTCATGAATTGTGTATCAGAACTTGTCATTTGCTAAAGAAATCTGAAAATGCTGTCATCTTAACACAGTAACTCGAATTTCTATGAATTGCTTATCAGAAGTTGTTATTTGCTTTCCTAAACTTGTTATTCGCATTACTGAACTTGTCGTGAAGTGGGTATCAGAACTTGTCAATTTGTTCTTTTCAACAACTTATCAAACTTGGTTCAGACATCACCATATTATTGTCAAAACAAACAAGAAATTGCATTGACTTTTTATAAGATTCAAAGTCTAAAATGCTTTCTAAGAATTCTAGCATAGCATCTATCAACGTAAAACAATAAAGAAGCACCTCAAAGAGAGTCTTTAGCTCAAAATCTTCAACATTGCTGTTAATGTTTCTAACAAAAATTGTTCTAGAAGAATGTTCAACAAAAGAAAGTTTCCGTTTAAAACGTTCGAAGCAACTAGGATCTTTATCTGGACCATTGGCCCCTTTTCCTATAGTTAGATGTTCATCGCCTTCTAGCTCCATACCTCCACTACTGCCAAACAGATCAAAATCTTCCAGGTTATCACCAGTTTTGGTAAATTATTGAAACTTGAGTCATCAAAAACACCAAAAGATGGACCATCTTCATCAAGAAGGAGATTTCTAATGGTGTTAGCCTCAATTTCTTCAAGAGATTTGTATAGTTCATCATCAAGAAGAGGGAGACAAGTCGGAGAATGAAGAAAGAGGGAGACGACTTAGAAAGTGAAGAAAGATAAAGTAAGGGCATGTAGACAAGGGACTGCAAAAAAGCAGAAGGGCGTTTTTGACTTTTAATCAACATTTCATAATTCTTATTTGGGACCGGGTCTCTGACAGCAATTATACAAATTCAAGGACCCAAATTGCGATTTTATATATTCCACGGTCTTTATTTGCAATTTTCCCTTGATTTTTTTCTGTAAAAATATTTTTATATCTATAACTTGATTTCTATCCAAATACTGATAAAATCAAATCATAATTTTAAAAATACTTTACGACATACAAAATAAATTTATAAAAAAATTCTCTTGTTTTATAAAAAAATACTTTTAGAAAAACACTTTTGACAACCAATCCATCCTGTGACCAAACAAGCTTGTTAGATAATCCTTCTTTTTTGTAAATTTTATTCCATTTTATTTATTAAATGAACTTTCCAAGTCCGGCCACGTAGGCTAAAAGTTAAGATTGGAGACAGTAGTTGCTTGCTATGTTTCATTCACAAACAGTAGACACCCTCCAAGGGCATAGGCCATCGCTCTCTCATATCAGATTTATCATTTATGTTCCCAAATCCCGATCTAAGGAGCAATCAAAACTAATAATCGCGTGGAAATAACTTTAAAGTGAATTGCAATCAGGTTCCACTTAAAAGAATCAAATACAAAAAATCCTTTAAAATCATAAAATTATTCTGAAATCTCAAAAAAAAATTTTACAATAAATTTTATTTATTTAATTACTAAATTACTTTTTTTTAATTTGCATTCACAATTAAAAAAATAGTTATTGACAACTTAAAATGTAAAGATTGACAAAACATTTTCTCAATATATCACACCCTAAGTTGTAAAACTAGTCAATATAAATTATCAACCATTGCTTTTTTAATTATTAATGCAAAAATTTTTAAAAAAAAAAAAATTTAAAAAAATTTAGTAATTAAACAAATAAAATTTATTGTAAAAATTTTTTTTAGAACTTTAAAATAATTTCACGATTTCAAAAAAAAAATTTATATTTAATTTTTCCTAACTTCAATGCACAAAATTGGGACTTCTGCAATTTTATTATTAATCTCAGTTCTATATGAGTATTTTTTTGCCATACATAATTCGAAGAGCCAAGAGGGCAGGGCCCGGACATCTACAAATGTAGATAGACTTCTCTGCATTCTACAACAAAAGAATTGCCTCAGTTTTTCAACAAAAGGGACAGCCATAATTAATTAGTGACAACAACGTCATTATTAAACGAATCGGTGATGAGATCGGGCAGATTCAGTGTTAGATTGGAAGGGGCAGCGGCAACAGACAAAACATACTTGGAGGCCACGAGCTTCTTCCTTTGAGGGCACCGTGGACCGTAGGTCCTCCCGGCAAAGAGAGGGGAACCCTCGGCGACGTTGATCTGAGGCTGACCATCAGTCGAACGCGAGGAGGACGGCGGTGAGTTGGGGCAAAGAGAGATCTGGCAGAGGGAGCTAAGCCGGTGGGATCGAGCACTGATTCGGGAGTCACGGATGCGGGCGAGGGCTCCGGGTTTAAGAAACTTGTGAAATTGATCAGCTCTTCGCAACTGAAGATCTCTAGTTCTGATCATGATGAAGAAGAAGAAACAGAGAAACTAAAATTGAAAAGTGAGAAGATAAGAATGGAAGTGAGTGAGGAAGAATGAAGCTGAAGAAGGGGTTTGGGGGGATTTTAATAGACAGAGAGGCGGGAAAACAAGTGGAGGGAGAGGGAAGAGGGAGGGAAGCCATGTGATGCGTCAATGGTCATGTGAGAGAGAATTTTGTTTCGAAATAGGGGAGAGGCGCGCGGGGAAAAACGAGGGAGACACCCAAATAGGGTTTCGCCAGACAAGTGACGCGTGTCTTTTTTGGTTTTTTTTTGGGGGGGGGGGGTGGGGCCTTTTTCTCCGCTTTTGGCGACGGTGAATTTCAAGATTAAGAGCACGCCACCAAATTAATTTCAATTAACTTCAATGAATCATTCTCTGTTTCTTCAAATACACGCATTGTTTGCCGCCAATAACGACTGAAAAAACTTGCCCATTGTAATTATTCTTGGCTTTTCTTTTCTTTCTATTGTCTTTTTAAATCTTTAAATTAAACTTAAAATGCTTCAATTTCACATATAAAATTATATTTAATACATATATATGGATAAATTGAATTGTATCTGCTGTTGTTTTATCGCACTTACTTAGATCGGGATGGAATAATGAAATTTTCAAGCACTGCTTGTATGTGTGCGTGAATATATTTATGTAAGGAGGGGCTTTAGTTAAATGAATATATAAATAAATCTAATCGAATTTGAAACTAGATGTATCCTGGCGATGCTCTATAGGCAGTGGCTGAATAAGAGAATTATGGTCATGAGGGCAAGGGGAGAGTAAAAGGGAAATTACAAAATGATTGTTTTGGTGCTATGAACAGCTTATCTCTCTCAAATTCTTTTAAAGTTGTAAAAAATAATTTTAAGATATACAAGATAACCGTGTAAAAAAAGTTTTACATTGATTTGCATAAAAAATTTTAAAAAGCTAAATCAGACATCCTGAAGATTTTTCTACAAGTGAATTTGATATGGTTTGTAACATTGAGTTATTAGTATATGTGTCTTTACTTGTTTTTTCAAAATACGTCGAAGTTACTCTCCCGCACCCATGTGAAGCCATGTTTATGTGATCAAAGCACCCTCATGCTTGTATCCAATTTTAATTTCACTCTCGTTCTTCCTACAAAAAGAAAAATCTCCATAAGATGGATTGGTAACGGCGATAGGCCTCTGTGGGCCTAACACACAGATACTCCAATTTTTTCCCCGTCTTTAGGCCAAGATCAGTAGCTATCTTGATTGGATGATTTTGAATATGCATATGACGTACAGGCGACGCATGTCTTTCAAAGATCACAAAATTCATTGGCCGCCCAGACAAAATAAAGGACAATTCGTTCTTGAACAACACATATAGAAACCATGAACATGCTGAAAGTCACAAAGGCTCAATCCTTTTACATTCCTCTACTTGTCAAAAGTTGGAGCTGCTATGGTTCATTATGACAAGGAGCTCAGCATACATCAAAACGAGAACCAAAAAGGAAGATGGTCATTGTTTACAAGAGAGTCAGATTTTTTGGTGACTAGTTATATCACACTACATACTTCATATTCACAACTGATCCTCCGGTATGCTTTCTAGAGTTGGCCTCCAAGCATTTATGGCTCCGCCATCATCTTCTGCAATAACTTGACAAGTTCTGCCTCTTCCGCTCAGTTTCACAGAACTTAGTAATTGCTCCAGCGTTGTGTGCTGAGACTCCTTCTCATGCCTTAATATCCTCTTTAACTCTTCCTGAGTCACCACCAGTTTTATCCTCACAGATCCACTTCTTCTGCAAATCTGATCTTTTCTTGTTTCTTCATCTTTCTGCAACTCAAACCTCACCTTCTTCCCTATCTTCTTCTTCTTCTTCTTCTTCATGCTGCTTTCTTCAGGCGGCATTGCAGCAGGATCAGGCTGATCGAATGAGGAACCAGATGCGATCGTCTTTTGCTCAACTTCTAATGATTCACGGGGTTGCTCGTCGTGTAGGTCGTCATCATCTTGGGCTGATATCTGGTTGTTTCTGATGATCAAACAGTTTCCCATGTGTGAGTGATGAAGAAATTAAAGATGGCAGAGAAGGAGAAATATGGGAAGCATATAAATACAGAAGAAGCACATGGATTGTCCTGCGGTTGCGCCGGGTATATTTGACATAAACAAAGCGAGATTCTCTCTCTCTCTCTCTCTCTCTCTCTCTCTCGGCCACCACCACCCTTGTATCCAGCCTTTAATTTTCATTTGATACCCTTTTTGTATTTTAGTCTTCACTTTTATTGTTATTTTAATTACTTCTACAGCCGTCTGTTAGCTTTCCCATTAAGCTCTCATTTTGCGTTATTTTCATATTTTGAGCCATAATTAACGAAGACCCATTTTCTTTTATGAGAGCTACCGTTGGTTATTGACAAACAAATAGAGAAAGACGGAGGTAGTGAATCGACCGAAACACGAAATAAAGTAGTTTCCTTTTATATAAAAAAACCAAGATATAGATCATGATAGCACATTATTGGCCATTTCTATGCAAATTAATGAAGCTTGAGTTGAAGAGGTTGCATTTGGAAATTACCGCGTTATCGTCAAAAGATTAATATATATAAAATAAATAAGAGAATAGTCCAAGAAGTAATTAAGCATGTTTGATTATTGATTACATGTAAAAACAAACCGAAAGAAAAAGATAATACTAAAGCCCTCTAATCACTGCTCAAAATCCGGTTCATCTCCCTCGGCATTATTCAGCACCACTACATGCACGGCTAATTCTTGCCTTGATTCTCGATGACACTGTTTTATCACTTTCTTCAATTCCTGTCCCCTTCTCGCATTTTACTCCTTCCAATCTTGTGCTGTAAGTTACAATTTTTAGGATAAGGCTAATCTTTTTTAATAAGTTACACTTTACATATATATTTAAAAATTATATTTCATTCTTTCTTTTGTGTAGACTCCCTCGGATCTTTTTCTTATTCCTTTCCTATCCCTCTCTCACCCTCCCTCTTCGTAAATAATGGCGTCTTATTTGAAGGGAAAAACTCTTGCATATTTATTGCTTTTAATGAATTTTATTTTATTATGTATAATTCAAGTATTTATGGATATGGTATATATAAATAACTTAATTCCGTCATGTTATGTGTGAGCCGTTGCTTTTTGACTGGCGGAGAATTAGCTTGATGTAATCGTAATCTAGCTCTGGTTTTAATTTTTAATGGATATATTGATGTGCGTTGTACGTATAATATGATAGCCAAAGGGAGAAAGATCGAAGCTTGCTGTTTACACTGCCACGTGGACATACATGATGATCTGAATGTAGACTGTTCAAAGCTGGAGTGCACTTCACTTAACTCCGTCAACTCCTGCTTCATATAATTAACCAGGTTTCGTAGGCATGTCCATCGAATCAAACGATAATTAAGAGACGTACATACGTTTACATGTTACAAATGAATTCAATCACACAAAAAGTGAACATTATTTGTTGTTTGATTTTCCAAGGATTGATTAAAATTCAATTTGATTGTCTCTTATGTCAAATATCGTGTCCCGATGTTGGTTATGGTTTGCATGCTGAAGCTGTGTAATTCTATTAATTTGTTTCAGATGTTCCTGGCGGTATTCATCTTTCCTGGGGCGTTCCTTTTTTTTTTAAACAAAAAGAAAATTAGTTGAGTCGACTCTGAAAGTTTACCAGGTTCAATGTATATTTTCAGACTCAGAAAACATTTACAAATATACTTACAGATCGCCTGTCAATAAAGTCTTTATATTTGTAATGAAATTCAAACTCATAAAACTTGTGAATTATGAGCTGTGGTACGTTGGTGTATAGTTAGGTGGCACTGATGACTGACTGTATGGTGTTCATTTACTTTGTTGGGCCTTTGTGCTTCAGGGTTTTCTTTTTTTTGGTCGAGCCTGGGGTATCCACCATTAATAATAACAGTGACTAATTCCCTCACCCGTGAACTTTTTCGAAAGGAGTATCTTTTTAAATTTTATTTACCTTTTCTTTGGGTAAAAATTTTCTTCACTTTTTGTTTATTGCTTTATGTTGAAGTTGTTTTTTTAAATCTGTCATTTTATTTAGTTAATAATTAAATTATCTTTCTTTTAAAATAATCATATCCTGGTTAAGAAATATCTGCATGTTCGCTAATATCTGTCATTTTATTTCCCCCTCTCGTATATTATTTTAATTTAAGTCCGTTGAGGCATAACTGTGAGGATATATAAAATAAAAGAAGTCAGTTATGCAATGAATGTGTTCATAAAATAATAACAGATGATGATGGCTTATATATATATAAAAATTATTTGGTGGCAGAGGCTACCGCGTGGAAATTGGGTCATTGCTTCCTATTTCGCATTTCCTTGCATTACCTCAATACCTTCATTCCACAAATAATCCAACCTTTTTTCCCCCTCAAAACTTGCGTTTATTGTAATTAATTAATACTACCTCCAGTTTTAAATATAAGAACTAGTTGACTAATTTAATAGGATTAAAAAAATAAGTTAAGTTAGTTATTTATAATAAATAAGTGTTGTCTTTCCTAAAATATCATTACTAATCAAGTGTATTGGCTAGAACTACTATTATTAGAAGGATTACCTTAAAAAAATACATAAATATGAGACAAAATGGATTGAAATTTTATATTTAGAATTAAAATAAAAATCAAATGTCTTATATTAAGAATCAGAGATAGTAATTAATCTGAAGAATGCCCGTCTAATCATTACAACCACAAACTATTACATTATAACTGCAATCTACTCTCTAGTGAGATACCCCAAACCAAAACGGAAAAAATTAAAGGAGAATATATATCACCCATGCATGTGTGTTGAAAAAAAAAAAAAGCATTAATTATTAATACATTTAATTTTGAACTATTTTTATTTGTCAAAGTAATAATGACGTGGCACTTTAGAGTGTCTGAAAAGCTGTTTGTAAAACAAAATTAGGATCAACCCATGAATTTTTTTCCCTGAGATCGAGAACCAACTAATCATCCAAAATGTTTGCCTTATCAGACTATAAAGAATATGCCTTAGTTTGAGGGTTGTTTTTTTTTTGTTTTAATTTAATACTTCTCCATTTCTTAATATAAAACCTAAATATTGAACTAGTTTTGATCTTAAATATAAAATTTATTTTTCATATTTATCAATTTTCTCTAAATTACCCCTATGGATATTTCCTCAACCATAATCAAGTAGAAGAGGGATAGGGGTATTAAGAAAAATGATTATGGTATTTTAAGAAAAACATGTCACATTTCTTATAATTAACTAACTTATCTAACTTTTTTAATCTAATCAAATTAGTTATATGGGTCTTATATTAAGGATCGGAGGAGTATGAATTTCATTGCTAAGGATTCTGGGCTTTTTTAAATCTAACGTGTGTGTGGACTTGTCCCAAAAATGAAAAGAACAAACATGGCAACGCCTCATTCATTCAATTCGTGCTCCATGTTTAAGGCCCAAGTCCATCGTTTGGGCCGAATTGTACGGCGATAGAGGCTGCCTGCTAAACATAAATTGTTCACCGATGAAAAGTTACACGAGTCTCAATGGGAATTAGGTTTAATAAATGTCTTACAACATGATGAATCAAAATTTAAATCTTATTAAGAGAGGTGTTTATATTTAACCCCTGCAAATGTCTTAAATAAGATTGCTTCCAAGATGCCTATGCATAACGAAAAAAATAGCTACACCATTATTTGGTGTATAATTTGATTATTTGTCTTCGGAATCAGAGCATGGAGGCTTGGCTGGTTATCAGATGAAGACCTCATTCTTGTGTTGAATTTAAATCCCCACCCACTTTTTTTGTCCCTTTCTGTTCCAAATGCCTCGCCAAGCAATCACAAAGCCGCCATGGCTGCTATTTATGAATGAACCCTGTTCCGAGGACTTCTCTTTCCTTCTTCGTTTTGCTTTTTTTCGTTTTGGTATCACTCTATCAGAAGATATACCTAAATTTAGATTTTTTTTTAACCAGTAAAAGCTAATTTAATATTTTTTTAGTGCAAAGCTAATTAAGCACAATAGTTTCTATTAAACTATAACTTAGTTAACATAATTTTAATGAATGTGTCCCAAAACATATATATAATGCACATGTTAGGTGAATAAAAAGGTTTTGGCCAAAAAAAGGGTGAATGATTAGCTCATTTCGAAAGTGATAATAATATATTCCTAATCACCGTGGGGTATGGAGCATAATAAACAAAGTTAAATTTGAAAATGCTAATTGATGGAATACAGTAAACAAAATTAAATAATTTAATGATTAAGAAGGAAGGAAATGGACACCTTACTTGAATAAAGTTTGTTGATATAGAGTTAAGTAGTGGAGCATAATAAACAAAGTTAAATTTAAAAATGATAAATTACATCCTAAAATAAAATATTTTGTCAGCTTGACCAGCTAGGAGCCAGTATTACCTGTTAGAATATTTATATATAACTTATATAATACTCTTTCAATTTTAAATATAAGATCCATTTTATAGTACAAATTATATTATAAAATGGGTTTTATATTTAAAACAGGAGGAATATTTTTCTTCCTCAATTTCTCGATTTTTTTTTTTGAAGCAGCCAGTTTTTCGATTTTTGATTTAGCAGCCAGTTGAGTATTATGAAAAATAGATATATAAATAATGTACTGTCTCACATGCTAAATCCATGAACTAACTAATTGTGGGGTTTGTTTTCATTCTACGAGTAAGGCGTCAATTTCTCTTCCCCTGTACTATTTATTAATTTTCTTCTAAATATTTTTTGGATTTTATATATTAGCTCAGTCTTAAATATAAAATTTTTTTTATAATATAATTTACACTGTTGTAAAAAGAGATTTATATTCAGGAGCGGGGTACTATATAGATCTTCTCCTCCCGTTGCGGATGCATCCTAATTCCCGAAGCCTTTCATCTGCTGGCCGTCGCTGAGCTCTTTCAGCTCCAGAAGAAGGAAACAACAATGCCTTCTCTGCAAAACGACACTCATCAGCCATTGTTGCCGCCCAGCGATCCGCCACCGCCACCGTCCTTGACTCGCTCTCTAAGCTCCAAACAGGAATCATCAAACGGCGAGCTCGAAAGTATACTCTCCGACACCACCCTACCTCTACTCCGCCGGGTCCGAGCCGCCACATGGATCGAGCTGAAGCTGCTATTTTTCCTGGCGGCTCCCGCCGTCGTCGTGTATCTGATCAACTACGTCATGTCCATGTCCACCCAGATATTCTCCGGCCACCTTGGTAACCTCGAGCTCGCCGCCGCCTCCCTCGGCAACACCGGCATCCAAGTCTTCGCCTATGGCCTCATGGTACCCCCTTCTCTCACTTTTTTACCGAAACATCAATTAATACTTGAAGAAGATATTTGATTCGGAACTGATGATATTTAGTGAACAGTTGGGTATGGGGAGCGCAGTGGAGACGCTATGTGGGCAAGCATTTGGTGCGAACAAGTACGAAATGTTAGGAGTATATTTGCAGAGATCAGTGATTCTGCTAACTCTAACGGGGATTCTTCTGACCATCATATACGTATTCTCAGAACCTATTTTGTTATTTCTGGGAGAACCTCCGAGAATAGCATCGGCGGCTGCTGTCTTCGTGTACGGTCTCATCCCTCAAATCTTCGCGTACGCCGTCAACTTCCCAATCCAGAAGTTTCTACAAGCTCAGAGCATAGTGGCCCCCAGTGCGTATATATCGTCGGGGACGCTGGTGTTTCATCTGGTGTTGAGCTGGGTGTTCGTGTACAAAATTGGGCTCGGATTATTGGGAGCGTCGTTGGTTCTGAGCTTGTCGTGGTGGATCGTGGTGATAGGTCAGTTTGTGTATATTGTGAAGAGCGAAAAGTGTAAGAACACATGGCAGGGATTCACGGTGCAGGCGTTTTCCGGGCTGCCGGAGTTCTTCAAGTTATCGGCGGCGTCGGCCGTTATGTTGAGTTTGGAAACGTGGTACTTTCAGATTCTGGTCCTGCTTGCTGGTTTGCTGGATCACCCTGAATTGGCTCTCGATTCTCTTTCCATTTGGTGAGTGATATGATATTGTTTTCTTATCATTAAATGATTAATTACGCCTTTAATTACCAACAAACAGTATTAATTTTAACGCTTTGTTAACCTTCACTCTAATCTCGCAATGTCAGTGGAACGTCCGAAAAACAAAACGGAGATGATATAATGATATAAATATATATATATATATATATAATTTCTGTTTTCTTAAGCTATGACACCCCGGCCATCATCATTTATCATTTAACTATATTTTCTGCCTTTTCCTTTCCCACGAATAATATGATTTATCTTGTTTATTTAATTTTTTAATTAATGCATGGAATTTCATTTTATCCGTTCATATATTCTTATATTCTTTCAATATTTAATTTAATATATCAAACATAAGAAATATATTTTTGGGAGAATTGTTATGAAGTCTGAAATAAAGAATATAGTTGTTAAAAAGCTCCAGCAACAATAGAACAACCTATAATTTGATAATTTTTTTTTTAGGACGTTATTGTAATTCTGCTAATATTTTTGGGTTCAAATATTTTGATGTTGAATAGAAGGGAAAATGCCGGAATATTCAAAAGTTGCTATAATATATATAAAATTATAAATGGGATATGTTTGTATGAGTATCTAGTTGCTTGAAAAGTGAAGATATATAGTGATAGAATCAATTGGAAAGCAAAATGCGAGTATGGCCAAGATCTAAAAGATAGACATGTCAGAATGATTTGGTTAAGTACAGTGTGGCTGACTCTTCAAATTGTTGCCGCCTTTCTAATTGATTCCCCAGTGAGTTTGTCTTCTTACTCATTATTCAACAGACCTCCTTGTATTTTTTACAATTTTAGTCATCTCTAGGAAAATCAATATAATTCTGGATTCTTTTATATTATAAAAATTAAATATGGCTTTTCTTTTTGTGTGTGTGTGAGAGAGAGAGAATTTATAGTGTGTGTCTGCGTCAGCCCTTGCGTCCGCTTTCATGAAAGAATCCTGCCCTTGACATATCGCTGTAGAGAGATTCAATTCGATAACGTCTTGTAAGACTGAATAGGTGGGAAGACTGTCTTTTTGCAAGCGCAGCCATGGACCCACCAAATTCACCGTGCGTATCCTTAATTTAAATGGAAACCTTCAAAAACATATACCACCATATCCGGATGGGTGTTCATGATCTCAGTTGGATTCAACGCTGCCGCAAGGTTTAGTTTTTCTCTCTCACACACCTTTACTCATCTGAGTACTTTTGAATATATACATACACATACATGTACTACCTTCGATCCTAATTATAAGATTTTGTTTGTAGTCTACAAATAAGATCTTAATAGTTAGGACTGGAGGTAATATAATAAAAATGGGCTTTGTCGTTTGTATGCTTTTGATATGATATTGAATTGAGTATTGAGTTGTTGTTGTGGCATGCAGTGTGAGAGTGAGCAACGAGCTAGGAGCAAGGAATCCAAAATCAGCAGCGTTTTCAGTGGTGGTTGTGACGTTGATATCCTTCATAATATCTGTAATAGCAGCCATTGTGGTGTTGGCTTTAAGGGATGTGATTAGTTATGCCTTCACAGGGGGCGAGGTTGTCGCCGCCGCTGTTTCTGATCTCTGTCCTCTCCTCGCTCTTGCCATCGTCCTCAACGGCATCCAACCCGTCCTGTCCGGTAACATCATTCATCATTGACAGTAATCCAATCTCACACTAACCATCACTTAATTAAAACCAGTTTAATTATAGCAAATTTACTGACTTGTTACATTATTGAAAATCAATTCCAATATGTACGATGAAGGGGTGGCTGTTGGGTGCGGATGGCAGGCTTTTGTTGCGTATGTGAATGTTGGCTCTTATTATGGAGTTGGCGTTCCATTGGGCTCAGTCCTCGGCTTCTACTTTAAACTTGGTGCTAAGGCATGTTCTCTTGTTCTTCATCCCCCTCGACAACATTACTAAGCAGAGAACTCCCATGAATAATGAAATATTCAAGCGTAAGCTTAATTTGTGCAGGGAATCTGGTTGGGAATGCTGGGTGGAATGTTCATGCAAACAATTATTTTAACGTGGGTCACATTTCGAACGGATTGGAATAAAGAGGTAAAAGAACCCTTTCTCCCCCGTCAAATCACTTTTTCTGTTGATCGAATGACGACGGACAACCAGGCTTTTGCGATTTTCTTTTCTTTTTATTTTTGGGCGAAACAGGCTTTTGGTTTGGTCTAACGGGAAGAACTTTGATCGTAGGTTAATGAAGCGGCTAAGAGGTTGAACAAGTGGTCAGAAAAGAAAGATTCATCTCCCCTGGAGAACTGAGAACGCCTGTTCTGACCTTGAATTCAATTAAGCAGGGCCAATTGTCTCCGGCTCTCCACTTTGAATTTTAGAACTATTTCCAGATTTGGGTCCCCAGCCAGCCAAAACAGAAATATCTGGTATCATCTAACGTCATCATGTAATCATGCACAACATTTTTCATTGTTTCACCTGGGCAAAAGGGTTCAAGTTCTATTTGCTTTTTCCTTTTTCTTAACTTTTGTACCGTTCAACGGTTTAGTGGTTTAGCATTACCCCCCCCCCCCCGGGGGGGTTTTCCTCTTGAGTGAGATAAGCATTACCCCCTTTTTCACAGAAGAAGAAGAGATCTTGGTGTTTTCTTCTGCTGTTTCTCAAATACAGTTCAAAATAACTAGCGTGGGATCGTGGCAATTGTCAACAAAATCCACGCGGTAATACATTTTGCTGTCAGAAAAGAATAAAAAAGCCCCAATTCGATGATTAAGCGCAAAAGCTATCACCAGTTTCTATGATTGCTTTTGAAGCTTCCACCCCAACCAAAACCCAAAAATCCGTTGCTTCTGAAACACTTTATAAATGATACTTGGAATGACCAATAGTACGTCAGAAATTGAACACCATCATTTACAATGCATGCCATGTTCAGTATGTAATCACTCTACAACGATTCGGATGCTTTAAGATCGTGACTATCCATTTAAAAAATAAAGGGACTCTAGCTAATCAATATGAAATTGAAGCAACTGGCATATTTAGTATTTCAAGTAGGGACCAGTGAGGAAGTCTTGGGCACAAACACAAACAAGAAAATGAAGCCGCCGCTGTTACTTTTTCTTTCCTGCTTTTCCTTCCTTTCTTCTTACAACTTCATCAGAATATTTGATACCCTTACCTTTGTATGGCTCTGGGGGTCTCCATCTCCTTACTGAAGCAGCAAACTGGCCAATCTCAGACTTGTCATATCCGCTCACTGTAATTCTGGTGTTATCTTCCACCTTCACCTTGAGGCCATCGGGGATTGCCATCTTGACTGGATGAGAAAATCCAAGATTCAAAATCAAATCTTTCCCTTCTACTGTGGCACGATAACCAACACCAACCAGTTGAAGCTTCTTTTCAAAACCTTTAGATACGCCAACCACCATATTGTCTGTAAGAGTCCTAAACAAATTATATTCCCAGCCAATCAAGAGTCAGATAGATGCATATAAATTTTGGAATCTAATCTGAGAAAAACAGAGAAATTTACATGAGACTAAAATGTGACAGAATGCTCCATTCTACAAAGCTGAATTCCAGCAATTTGCTTATACAAGAAAATTTTATACGTAACACAATCGGATCAATATAACGACATTATGCCAAACTAAAATATATCAAGGATTTAAGCCATTGGCATCCCAAAATTTAAGAGAAAGTGAATGACCAGTGCACTTCAGGAAAATAAAATAGCCCATCTGAATACAATTAGTTCGAATGGTTCTCACGGCTTCAGGCATAACCCTGCTTTGGGACATTATACCTTGTGTTCAATCATTCAAAATAGACAATATCTACAATTATGAAGCAACACGGAAATCAAAATTGTTGGAACATATGCACACAGCATGTGAGGTGGGGGGCCCTTGCTATGGAAGTTTTCAGTGAACAATATCTCCAGCAACCCATCTCCAATACAATTTGTGACATTTCCATTTATTTTTTCCCTTAGGAATTTGTTTTCAGTGCCCGTTTCCCCCACTTATCCGATTATGCAACTTACATAAATGTAGGCAACGGCAAAAACAAGCATTATCTAGCTCCGAAAGTCTTATCATCAGAAGAAAATAACAGAAGTAAATTATTCACAGATTTCAAATTTATATCTATCATGTGCCACAAACAATTTACAAAATTTGAACCAAATATCAAGCGAAATCTCATGTTCTAGGTTCCAATGAGCGTGTAAAGAGAAGAGTTTAGATGTTCAGAAACAAAAACACTAAAACAAATGTGTTTATGGTTCAACAACAAAATATTCTTACATAAACAAGGGTCAGGAGAATGAAGTACCTGAAAAGCCCATGCATTTGATTGGCCCTTCTAGTTTCCACTGCCTTTTTAACCCTTAGAATTCCAGACTCCATCCTATCAAGTATTACTTCTCGAGGGTACGTCAATGCAAGTTCTCCCAACGGGCCCTTCACTTTTAAATCCTGCCCTTCTAATGTGATTGTCACATTTGATGGCACTTCAATTGGTTGCTTCCCAATTCGAGACTCCTTGCATTTTATAGTCTTCCTCAGGAAAGTAACACGAGTAGCAGGAATATGGGAAACACTGATCTTATTTCTCTCACCCAGGAATACAGACTTCAAATTGCTGAAATATGATAGCAAGCAAGATCTCTCAAATTTATGAAATACCTACTAAGGAACTAATTTATCATTAACACAGCTTATCAAAACATGAATACATTAAATAGTAATACAGAAAATCAATACCTAGAAGTGCCAAGAAATAGATATATAATTGGGTTACTTATCTTCTTCAATGTAGCAAAGACCGATTTTAAGTCGCATAGCCTCATTGTAGAAATGTACATATTCAAAGGCCAGTATTGAGATGTATCGGGTAAGGGCAGTAACAGTGGCAACTAACTATACAACATCTTGATTTAAATCCTTCACATTATTGCAAAAACCATGACCCGTCTAGCCACCCAGACTCAAAATTACGAGACGATGGGCAATAATATTTAGAAGCCAAGGACACTGGATAAACAAGATTATTCATCGTGCCCCAATTCACTGGATAGTTGAAACAAGGCTTCGCATCAAGACCAATGAATAGAGAAAATGTAAACATGAGAAGGTAATCCCAAAGTTTCTTGTCATGAACTGAAAGGAAGAAAAACATTGCCGCTAAAGTTGAAGTCGACCTGGTTTGGAAAGAAGAGGTGATTGAGGAAGCCATTGTTACGAGCTCGTCCGCACCCCGGAGTGCGAGGTCCTGAGGAAGAGACCAATCTAATGCAGTGTGAGCGTTATCCACCGGAAAGACTATAATTACCCTCTGGAACCCGTGAAATTTCGATGACTGCCATCGACGCAACAGACCAATTTGGTTGGGCATGGGTCTATTTAACTGTCGGAAGGATTGTCAGCCCAAACGAACGACACAAACCAGAGCCCCAAACTAATTCTCAGTTGTTGGGCTTTCATCTGTTTTTGTTTTCTACTTCTTGTGACCGTTAGCGGGTGAGTCATTACTGCTGGGCCCAAAAAATTGAAGAAGGAACAGGAAAAGAAACCAGACAAAAGAGCCGGAAATGAACATTGAATAAAATCTTAATCTGGCAAAGGAAAGTCGCCGAGTCTTAAGGTCACATGCAGAGTCCAACCTGCGACCTCCTTGTGTGGAATTTTCATGCCATTGTGTTAGAAAGATTATCGCCAATGTATCTTCTTAGTTTGAGGTCAACCACGTGGTTTGCCTTGTACTCTCATGACCCTTTTTTTTGACCTGATGTACCTCTCATGACATGACTTTGGGTGCAGGAGAGAATAGAATGAAATTATAGAAATTATATTATGTGATAATCAAACAACCAATAACAAGGACTTGATGGCCTAGAAGCATCGTCGGAGCACTGGATGAGGGCTCAATCTTGGAAATTTAGAGAGCCGACCTGAGCTGACAAAGGGGGCAGAAAAAAACAAAGGACATGCCTAAATAGTAAATACAAACATATAGCTGGGAAAATAGAATGCTCTGGGAATGGCGGACAAAGACAATTTGACTTTTACTGGCAGTTGAATTGCGGGTAGCATTGGAAAACGTGGAAGATAATCACTGGGGAATCCCCCAGCAGCCCAGAGTGCTTCATACCCATACAATATGAATGCGCAATCTCGCTAATATGTGTCAGCTGCCTTCATCCCTATGTGAGCCACGCCATTCACATGTCCCGCAGCAGCGTTGCTTTTGTTTCCCGAAACTCACAAGTTCCAATCTTACATGATTATTTTGAACATTCATATTTTATAGTTTAATCATTTCTTTCAAGTACTTTGTTTTCATCCCAAATGTAAAACCCTAAAGTATAATTTTCCCCCCGAGTTATATTTACTGGTTATACATATTAGAGGAATTTTTAACAATAAAAATAATAGTCCAAAAAGAGTATTTTAGAAAAAAAAATAATACATATTTTTAGTAAATAGCTAATTTTATAATACTTATAAATCATTTATTTAATCTGATTTATATATTTAAAATTGAAAAAAGTGTTTTTTTCCCTTCTTGAAATGTTGACTTCGGTGATCGGCTTGGTACTTTCTAATATTAGTATTTAATAATATTTTAATTATAAATCCAGATGAAACCAAAAAAAAAAGGCATGATTATATATGATTGAAAAATTTGACATAATAAATATAAGAAACTTAACCTAATTTTTTTGTTCATAATTTAAATAGCTGCAGTTTCAGAAGCGCAGCCAGACCATTCTTAATTATTCTGTTTAGTTGTGGATGACTGGCGGACCGTAGATGTCTAAATTTTTCTTTAAAAATTTTATTTGTGGTCACGTGGATTCTCACCGTTCATTTCATTTTGTTTTTCCCCGCCTGCTTCAGTGCTTTATACATATTTATCTCCCATATCTCTATTTAAAATAAATATTAAATAATAATAATAATGTTAAAAAATTGGGAAAAAGATTATTCCTGAGTGATCACATTGTCAAGGATAATCACGCAGCAAAAGAAAAGAAACGAAAAGACGCCAAAATATGAAAGCAAACAAGAGATGAAAAGATGCCAAAGCACTAATGGTTGAAGTGGCAGCTAAAGTATAGCCACTGGTTTTTGGTCTTCGAACAAAATTATAATCATCCCAAAAGGAAAAAAAAAAAAATCTCAAAAGATGCAATCATTATAGTCGTTTGCTCTTCGCCGTGATGATGGTGTCATATTAAACTAAATAGTAAGATTTTTTTTTTGGGCCAACTAAGAGGAAAATTCAATTTACATATGCACTCATAAGGAACTACCGTGTGAAATATTTAACGCGAGCATTTTAGAGTGGATTTTAAATTTGTTATTGCATGTTAAAGAAATTTAATTATATTTCTTTATCAGCAGATGTGTGGTTGCCAAAAAATAAATAAATAAATAAGATAAAGCATATACTCCTCCGGTCCTAATTATAAGACCCAATTGACTTATTTGAGGAGATTAAGGAAATAGGTTAAATTGGTTATTTATAATAAATAAGTGTTGTCATTCCTAAAATATCCTTATTAATTAAGTATATTGGCTAAAACTATCATTATTAGAAGGATTATCTTGGAAAAAATGCATAAATATAAAAGACAAAATGAATTGGGGTCTTATAATTAGGACCAAATAAAAAGTCAAATGGGATCTTATAATAAGGATCAGAGGAGTATTATATAAAGCCATGAGATGAACACGTGTAATCAGACGAGGATTCGTACAGCTGATATGGTCCGAATCTTTGGTTGGATCTGAGTGTTTGAAGCATAAATGCATCGCGTGGCTTTGTGGTTAGTGTGGACTCCAGAGCTTGTTGCTGTCCATTCCCATTATAAATGGGTATGGATTCCAACTATATTTTCTCAACTAATACTCCCTCCGTTTCTTATTATAAGAGACATTTGACGCTTATAGTATGTTCCTAAATATAAGAGACACTTAAAAGTTGTCTCTACTTTTTTGTGTTGATTTCCTATTTTACCCATATTTATTATCTCCAACTCACACTCTCTCTCCTTTCCACTTCTCTTTCTTTTAAGAATTTACTATTGTTCTCTTTCATGCTCTCTCTCCTTATTAATGAGGGCATTTTTGGAAAAAAATTATACTTTTTGCACATTAATTATTCTTAACTAATTTTAACTGTTTTTTTGATCAACGTAATTCGGTTATTCGTCTCTTATAATAAGGAACGGAGGGAGTATATTAAAACAATTAACGTCGTTTAAAATAAAAACATAGCAGCAATTTCTATATTAGTATATAGGTTCGAAGCCCTGTATTTTTCTCATAAATTTTGATGTAATTAAAATGAGAGAAAGACACTCGTTGGCAAAAAAAAAAAAGAAAAAAGAGAAAGATACTCATGAACCATGAGATAAAAAGACATTAATAGCAACTATGGCTATGTTTGGATTGCAGTTCCAAACTGTAGTTGTGCCTTGGAATCTGTGAAACTGAGGTTGTAAACTGAGTTGGACCAAAACTGTTGTTTGGCTGGGCTAACTTTTCCAACCAACTTCTGGCTTTCAACCTCAGTTAGACTCAACGGAGAAAAATCTAACTTTTCAAACTGTAGTTTCAAACGGTGATTACTAAAAATGAGCATCCCAGATTTACCCTCACATTTTTCTCTCTGCCTCATCTCCTTCTTTAGCATAATAAGTTTTTATTTAGACCAAATAAATTTTAATTTATATTCATGTTTGTCTATTATGTATATTTAATTAATTATCTACAATGTGTTTTCAACTTTTCTTCATAACAAATATTTTTATTTCATAATTTCACAATTAAACTATTTATATTTTATCATAATAATTTTATATGTTTTTTTAACCTATTATCACATTAAAAACATAAAAAATTAAAAACTACTATTTAATAAAGTTCATGCCCTTTTTAGTCATTTTACAACTAAACTAACTTTTTCATTCATCATCCAAACAACTTTCAGCTTTTTCAACTGACTTTTCAAAAGCACCTATCCAAACATACTCTAACTGACTTTTACTCTAACTTCAGTTACAAAAGTCAGTTGAGCTAGAAGTCAGTTTTGCCCAACGCCAATCCAAACATACCCTATAATGTTGGAAAACTAAAAATTATCTGAAAAGATATAATTCTAAATATAGCAAGGGAAAATGACAGATAAAGAAGGCTGAAATAATAAAATGCCAGAATGGGAAGCTAAGCAAATGTATTACCAGATAGGGAAGTGTTGCCTGATTTGGGATTATGCAAATGTTGCACAATTACAAAACAGCCCCTGTCAGTCAGCGTTTGAAAGCGGAGAGAGAGAAGGCGCGCACGAACACTCCTGCACTGACCGTCGTGCTTCCCGGTTTCTCGCTTCCACCATCCCCATTGTTGCCCTAAAAACGCCGGCAAGCTGGACAGTTGAGGACCCCGAAATAGTGTGTGCGTAAGAGAGCAGAGGAGTTGGAAGTGGAAGGGCGTGCTGTTCGAAGGGCGAACGTGGTCGCGTCTGACTGATTGTGTGGAAAGACGAAGGTTGGCGCACGGTGATTCACCATTGCAGTTAACAAGCATCAACAGCATTCCAGTGAGGTAAGTTCAGGCATTTAAGTTTCGTGCTGTGGTCGACGTTTCTGGGTGAGTCTGGGAATCAATGATTGGGCAATATTTAGATATGACGCGATGAAGTTTGTGAATGACAGGAATGGCGATTAAGGGTTTATGCTGAGTCGCTGTGGCAAGCTATTCTGTTTTTAATAACGTAGTTGAGAACTGGAAAAATGGGTTTTGAAATCAGTAGGAAAATTGTCTGATTGACTGGAAAAATTATATGAACAACTGGAAATGACAATAACATACTGGTAAATGACTATGATCGAACCTAAAATGACCATATTCATAGTAATGACCTTACTGTCTGAATGAGTGGAAAGATTATATGAATAAACTAGAAATGACAATACCAAACTGGTAAATGACTATGAAGGAACTTGAAATGACCATATTCATAGTAATGACCTTACTGTCAGACTGTAATGGCCATGTTGGTAATGACAATGAATTAAGTGGGAATGACCATATTCATAGTAATGACCTAACTGTTAGTCTGTAATGGGCATATTGGTAATGACAATAAGTTAACTGGAAACGACCATATTCATACCAGCATCCTTACTGTCACTCTGTAATGGCCATATTGTAAATGACAATGAATTAATTGGAAATGACCATATTCATAGTACTGACCTAACTGTTAGTCTGTAATGGGCATATTGGTAATGA